CGACCCGCATCGCACAGGCGCTTCTCGTGGAGGCGGTGCTCGACCACCGGCTCCGACTGCAGCAGCGACTCGCGGTGAAAGACAAGGCGCGTTCTCCTTCACACTGGTTCCCATACGACCGCGTTCGTGTGGTGAACGCCATTCCTTAAGGACTTTTCCCGGCGTGTCTCTCCGCCCACACGTCGCTTTCAATCCCGACACACCTCGACGCCTTTCAACTCCACCCCTGACGCCTATGAACTCCACCCCGACATCGCTTCGTATGGAACGGCCCCAAGCTGGACGAGGAGCGCGCGCGCGTGCAGGGCGAGATCGACGCGGGGCTCCGCTGCGAGTTCAAAGTCCAGCCGCACCTCATGGGCCTCGTCGTCGGTATCAAGGGCGCGCGGATCCGCCAGACGCAGCAGGAGTGTCGCATCGATCGCGTCGTCGTGGACAGGGACCAGAGCGTCGTGCGGATCGTCGGCGCGGACCCGGCGGAGGTGAGGAAAGCGCGCGGGATGCTAGAGCTCAGACAGGAGGTCGTCTCCGTGCCGGACGATAAGACCCGACGCGTCATCATCGGCAAAGGCGGCGCGACGATCAAGGACGTCCAGCGTCGAAGCGGCGCGATATCGATCGACGTCGATCACGAGCGCGGGGAGGTGAAAGTCTTGGGGACCGCGTCCGCGGCGGCGGCGGCGAAAGTTCTCGTCGAGTCGTTCGTGCAGAACATCCTCGACATGGTAGGAGTCGCGTCACACTGGTCCCCATACGACCGCGTTCGCGTGGTGAACGCCGATCCTTAAGGACTTTTGCCGTCCTCTCTCCCCGCCCACCGCTTCCTTTCAATCCCCGCCCGCGACGCCTTTCAACTCCAACTGACGCCTTTCAACTCCACCCCGGACGAGCAGGACGCGGCGACGGACGAGCTCGAGGAGTTACGCAAGGATGTCAACCGCCTCGACGTCGCGTGGGGGGAGGAGACGAACTACTACACCGTCCAAGGCGGGCACGGGCAGCGCGAGGGGTTCCACGGGCACGACGGAGCGCACTATCGCGGCGGTTACGATAGAGGCGGCGGCAGAGGCGGCGGCAGAGGACCGGGCGGCGGGTCTCCGTTTGGCGGCGGCGGCGGCCGCGGCGGACGAGACGGAAGAGGCGCGCCGGGGTATCGCTCCAGCGGTGGGGCATCGCATTGGGATCGAGAACAAGCTCCGTCGGCGCGCCCGGAGGCGAAGCCGACGCGAGGGTACGACGCGAAGCCGAAGCCCGCGCCCGCGCCCGCGCCCGCGCCCGCGCCCGCGCCCGCGCCCTCGAAGAAGAAGGAAAAAGAGAACAAACCGAAACGACAACAACAATCGTCGTCGAGGGAGGCGCCGACGTCGAACAAGACGGCGCCCGCGGCGGACGGCGACGCGGGCGTCAAGGCGAAGAAGCCGAAGAGCAAAAAACCGAAGGCGGAGCGAGAGGAGAAACCGGCGGCGGCGACGACGAAGCCGAAACCCGTCCCCGCGCCGGCGGCCGCCGCCGCGGCCGCCGCGCCCGAGGGCGCGAAGGAGCAGCGCCCGCCGCGAAAGCCGCGCCGTCCCCGCGGAGGCGGAGGAGGCGAGGGTGGACCCGTCAACGCCGCCGCCGCTTGAGCGAGGCCAGCGTTGTTAACCGGAGTTGAGTTGTAGTGTAACGACGAAGCGAATAACACGCGCTGAAACACCCTACGTACGTACAGAAGTTTTAGGTTTCGAGGTCGCCGCGTCCTCGCGCATCTCGACGCGCGCGCGAGTCGCGCGGGGACCTACCTCTCCGCGTCGCGTCGCGCCCTTCGCGCGCGCCACTCCCGCCGCGTCCGCCCGCCGCCGCCGTCGCGACTCGCGCGTCCTCCCTCCCTCCCTCTTCGAACGACGCGACGCCGCCGTCGTCAACGCGGGGGAGGCAACAATGGGACGAAAGAGAAAGCCCGCGCCGCTGGACGCCCCGCTGAAGGAGCGGCAGCGGAAAGAGATGGAGCTCAAGAAGAAGAAGCTCCAGGAGAAACTCCGGACGAAGAAGAAGGAGGGCGAGGGCGCGGTCGCGGTCGCCGCGCCGGCCGCGGACGCGCCCAAGTCGGTCGCGGAGGTGAACGATCTCTTCATGGCTGGCGGGGACATCAAATCGATCGGCCGCGACGCGCGCGGGCCGTTCACCGCCGCCGCGCTCGAGGCGCGATATAAAGAAGAGGGCGTGACCGTGACGACGGACAAGTCGTTCAGTTTCAAAGATTTGTACGCGGAGAAGACGACGTGGACGCTGACGGGAGGCGCGGGGCCCACGGGGGGATCCAGCGGGGGGGGGCTCGTCGCGTCGTCGTCCGAGCGGAATAAAAAAGGAGGCGTGCGGAAGAAGACGTCGTCGTCGCGGCGGCGAATGAAGAAACCGCCGCCGCCGTCGGAAGACGACGATTCGTCCTCGGACTCCGACGCGAGTTCGTCGTCGTCGTCGTCGGACTCGTCGGACTCGTCGTCGTCGGACTCGTCGTCGTCGGATTCCGATTCCGACGACGACGACGACGAGGAGGAGGAGGAGGAGAGACGGGAGGACGCGGCGACGGCGGAGAAAAAACCCAAAGCCGAGACGACCAAAACCAAAACCAAAAAACCCGAAGAACCCGAAACCGCCGAGGAGGGGGCGAAAGCGAAGGACGCGTACATCGACATGATCGAGCGCGACTTGCCGAACTTCTTCGTGCCCGGTCAGGGGGACGCCAAGGGCGCTAAGAAAGATCAAGCCGGCGGCGGCGGCCGCGCCGCGATGACGGAGGAGGAGCTCAACGCGGAGTGCATCGAATATCTCATCCGATCGCTTCCGGCGAGGATGGAGGAAGCGAAGCGACTGGCGCCCGAACGCGCGAAGTGCGTTCTGTACACTGGTCCCCATACGACCGCGTTCGCGTGGTGAACGCCGATCCTTAAGGACTTTTGCCGGCGCATCTCTCCGCCCATCCCTTGCGGTCAATCCCCGCCCACGACGCCTTTCAACTCCGCTTCTGACGCCTTTCAACTCCACCCCGACGTTCGCTCGTATAAAACGACCCTCAGACGCGCGCAGGAGCTGAACCTCGAATTCGGCGGGCCCGACGGCGGCGCGGACGTCATGGCGCTCATGGGGATCACCCCGGAGATCGTCGAGGAGGCGAAGTCGTTCGTGAACCCGTACAAGAACGACGAGGAGATGCTCAAGGATTGGTACCCCAAGCGAGACGCGTGGCGGGAGGATTACAAAAAGAAGAGGCGCGCGGCGATGCGACGGAAGAAGGGGTTCAACCCCGGCGGGAGCGACACCCTCGCGGACGTGCTCTTGAAGAACAGCCCGCTGGACAGGTTGTGACGCGACGCGACGCGCGATGAGCGCGAGTAGGTAGAAGACATATGATAGCAGCAGCAGACAAAGACAAAACACGCGACGGCCGCCTCGACGGGCGACCTTTCGTTCTTCTACAGTACGACGCTTCCTCCCCTTTTTTTCCTCGGGGCTCGCTCGTCGCTCACGGCGGCGCGACGGACCCCCGTCGCGAGTGAATCACCGAACTCTTCCGCGAGACGTCGAGCGACTTGCCTTCCCCCTCTTTGCTCGTGAGGGAATCCAGCGACCGCCGCGCGGTGCGCAGCTCCCCAGTCTCGTCCGACGCCACCGTCGCGAGAGAGCCGAGCCGAGCGCGGCTAAAACCGCCGGCGGCGTCCCCTCCGAGCGAAAAATTCCCCCCGCCCCCGCCCGCGATCGACCCCGACCTTCCGCGCGACGCGACGCTCCCGCGCCTCGAGTCCCACTCGCTCGGGTGCACGCTCGCGCGTCGCGAGCTCATCCCGGAGAACAGACCGCCGAAGATGGAGCTCATTCGCCGCCCCGCGCCGCCGCCGTCGTTCGCGCCGCCGCGGCGCAGCGACGAATTTCTTCTCGTGTTGGACCGAGGCGTCGTCGCCCCGGCGGGCGGCGCGCGCGCGTGTTGCGCGTGTTGTTCCCCCCGCGCCCCGCCTCCGCCGGCGTGAGGGTGGAGCAGGTTTTGCGGGCCGTTCGAGGACGAGATCCTTCGTCGCATCCCCGAGCCGCCGCCGGAGTGCAACATCGACCGGCGTTCGTACTTTCGAACCGCGGCGGCGGCTGCGGCGGCGGCGGCCGCCGCCGCCTCCGCCTCCGCTCTCAGCCGTCTTCGCAGACGGTTCGCGGTGAGCTCTCTCCAGTGCCGCTGCACGCGGATGACGCACATGAGCGCGGACCAAGACAGCTCGTCGGGTATCGGGACCCAGATGTCCGGGAACGCCTTTCGTATCCCGTACTCGATCCGATCGCGCATCTCCCCGGGGGGCATGTCGCATTCGCACACCCGCCGCACGAGCTCGAACGCGGTGCGGCGAAACGGCACCCTGCAGTCCGACGTCAGCGGCACGTTCAGCGACTTTATGAAGTGCACGGAGATCACGCGGGAGGTGCCGTGCCCGAGACCCAACGGCGGCGGTATCTTGCGGAGGAGGCGCTCGAGGTCCAAACCCGATATCGTCCCGCTGCCGTCGTCGAACTCGCGGAAGGACTCGACGTACCCTTCCAACACGTTCGGCGACAGTTTCCACTCCTCGTGATCCTGCATGTTCTCGAAGTTTTCGATGATGACCGCGGTGAACAGGTTCAGCATGATCATCGACACGATCACGACGAACGAGATGAAGAACGGGTACGCGCTCCACGACCCGCAGTTCTCGTCCGCGAGCGTGCACCGAGAGGACCCGGGCGTCACGGAGCAATCACGCATGAGGCCGACCCACTCGTCGTTCGTCGCGACGCGGAATAACGTCAGCATCGCCATCTGAAACGTCTCGAAGTTGGCGTGCTCGTTGAGGGAGTCGCCGCGTATCGTCTTCCCGAACGTCCACACGCCGAGATAGCTGTAGATGAAGAAGAGGAGGAGGACGAGCGCGCCGACGTTCCAGAACGCGGGCAGCGACACGATTAACGTCTCGAACAGGCTTTTTAACCCTTTGAGGGATTTTATGAGCCGGAACATGCGCGAGAGTCGGAACAGCCGTATCAGCCGCGCGAACGACGTGGACAAGAACCCGACGCACAGGTCCACGATGCTCGAGCACACGATGAAAAAGTCAAACTTGTTCCAGTTCGAGGACCAGTATTCTCGGAACCCCATCGCGGCGATTTTTAAGCCGCACTCGGCGATGAACACCGCGGTGAACGCGACGTTGACGTTCTCCTTCGCCTCCGTCTCCTCCGCGCTCTCGTCGTGCCGCGACGTCGCCATGACGAGGACGCTCCCGATGATCGCGACCATGATCCCCGGGTCGAAGTACCGATGCGAGATGATCGAGAACGGGAGCTTGCGCCAGAGTTGCTTCGGCGGCGGCAGCACTTTCAGCGGTTGCATCCGCAACACGCTCTTGCACATCTCCGCCCACTCCTTCTGTTCCTCCGTGAGGTCGATCGAGCTCGTCTGCGACAGCATCCGGATCCGCGAAAACTGATAGAAGATCACCCCGACGTACAAGTTCAGCAGCGAGAACGCGCACAGGACGATGAACGCGAGGAAGAAGAGAAACGCGGCCGGGTTGTTATCCTGCTTCGGTTGCTCGTCCACGCCCGTGACGTCCAACGCGTCGAACATGATTTGGCCGTACCTGCGGGCGAAGCGATGCGATTGGTCAGATTCGCGTGATCAGATTCGGTGACGTGGCGTATCTTGTTTTGGGTGGTGGGAAATGAACGACGACGCATCAGATATCCTCGAGTCCTTAAGAAACGTAACTCCTTCGACGCGCGAACGGAGTCGTATGGGGACCAGTGTGTGCGCGGTCCGCGATCGTACCCGTCCAGCGTGGAGACGACGAACAGCGATATCAACGCGCGGTACAGGTTGTCGAAGTTCAAGTACGCGTTGCTCCACTCGCGCGGCACGACGTCGAGCGACGTGACGTCGTAGAACTCGCCGACGCACTCGCGACGGTGCGCGACGTCCGGGTCGTTGCAGCGGTAGAAGCGCCCCGCGAAGACTTGCACGCCGAGGATGCCGAAGACGACGAAAAACATCAACACGACGACGGAGACGTTTACCATCGCGCCTATGGACAGCGCGACGGACTTCAACACGAGCCGCATGCCGCTCGATTTCGTCAACGCCCGCAGCGGTCGTATCGCGCGGAGCACGCGGAGCGACCGCACCCACCCGATGTGCGACGCCACGGACGTCAGCGCGATCTCGAGCAGCGTCGTCGCGACGATGAAGAAATCGAGCTGGTTCGTCCGCTCGCGAATGTACTTTGGAAACCCGAACGCGAAGATCTTCGCCGCGCACTCCAGGGTAAAGCACGCGGTGAGGCAGTAGTCCAGAATCTTCAGCTTCGCGTGCGTGCGCTCGTCCGTGTTCGGCCCCTCCAGCGCCATCGCGACGCACGACGCGAAGATGAGGAAGAACATGAAATAATCAAACGTCCAGTGCGACAAAACGTCGTACGCGTCCTCCCTCAGGCGGTGGTGCGACGGGACGCAGAGACACGAGACGTCCGCGAGCTCATCGTCGCGGTTCTTGCGGCGCGAGATGAGCGACCGTACGCCCGCGAGCGAGGACGCGCGGCTGCCGACGACGGACTCCAGGCCTTCGAATTTCGTGCCCCAGTTTGGCGTCATCGCGCCGGACGTGAGCCCGCTGGCGCCGCTGTAGAAGGGCGTCATCGCGCCGCTGTCCGTGCCGCTGCTCGCGAGGGTCGAGGGTCCATAATACGAGCGAACGTCGGGGCGGAGTTGAAAGGCGTCAGAAGTGGAGTTGAAAGGCGTCGCGGTGCGTTGGGATTGAAAGCGAGGGGTGGTGGGCGGAGAGAAACGCGCGCCGGGAGAGAAAGTCCTCACGGAACGACGCGGTCGTATGGGGACCAGTGTGAGATAGAACGCGCCTGCTCGGCGCGCTGCCGCTTCTGCCGCTGTCCACGCCGCTGCTCGCCTCGGAGTCGCCGCTGTCGTCGACTCCGACGTTATTCGCGGCGGCGGCGTTCGCGTGGGCGGGTCGCGGGGTCGCGGGTGAGACTTCCGCGGAGGAGCCGGGGTCGCGCGCCTTCGCGGACGCCGGCGCGGGCGCGACGCGCGCGCGCCGCGACCGAGCGTTGGGCCTATCTTTCGTCGCGCTCGCGCTCTCCCCGGGCGGCGGCGGCGGCGGCGGCGCGACGGTCGTGGTCGATGATTTCGAGAGCGCGCCGCCGGGGACGAACTGCCCCGCGAGCGCGCGGTCGCGCTGCGCGCCTCGCGCCGCCGCGCGCCCCGCCGTCGACGACGCCGACGCCGAAAAAGCCGGCTTTTTCGGATCGTCCGCTTTGGACGTTTTTTCCTTGTCAGCCGCGGACGACTCCGCCACGTCGACGACGACGACGCTCTTCCCATCCGTCGTCGCGAGGTCGTCGTCGTCGTCGTCGCTCCGGCCGGCGCCGTCCGCCGCGCCGGCTTCGGCTTCGGAAGCTTCCAACGCCTTCCTCTCCGCGCGCCTTCTTTGCTTTTTCTTCCGCTTCATGTCCGCGAACCGCTTCTTCCGCCGGTCGCGTTTCTTCTTAATCAACCGCGCGACGAGCCGCGCTTCCTTTGACGCCTGCGCGTCGTACTTGCTCTCGAACGCCTCCATCGTGACGGCTAAAAACAGCGTCAAGAACGTGTACTTCCCGACGATGACCCACAGCACGAAGAACGCGGACGAGCCCCAGCCCGCGTACTCGATCGTCCGGAACATGATAAACTCCCAGTCCTCCAACGTCAGCGTCTGAGGGCGGTTCCATATTACGAAAGCAGTTCATCGGTCAGTTGAAAGGCGACGCGATCGAATGTTGAAACCGAGCGCTGGGTGAAAAACGTGGCTTGCATAGATAGAACGCACCTGAAACGTGAGCAACGTGGAGTGATAAAACGAGTCGAAGCTGGCGCGACCGCCGAACTGCGGGTCGTCGATCCCGTACCGAAACGAGTCCGGGTCTCGAAGGCCTCCGAACACGTGCAGACCGACGATCGCGAAGACGAGGAGGAACAGAAATAACAGCGCCGCGATGCTTATGAACGACGACAGCGAGGATAAGATGACTTCGCCGATGACGCGCAAAGACGCGAGGTATCGGAACATCTTAGGGTCGTTCCGTACAAAGCGACGTCGGGGTGGAGTTGAAAGGCGTCAGTTGGAGTTGAAAGGCAACGCGGGCGGGGATTGAAAGCGAGAGGCGGGCGGAGAGACGCGCCGGGCAAAGTCCTTAAGGATCGGCGTTCACCACGCGAACGGGATCGTATGGGAACCAGTGTATAGAACGCACCTTAAACACGCGGAACGTTCGCAGCGCTTTCAAAGCGCGCAACGCTTTCAAAGCCCCCAAACCGTCGACCGTGCTCGACAGCAGCATCGCGACCACCTCGAGGACCGCGAAGAACACGATGACGAAATCGAACCGGTTGAAGTTGTCGGAGAAAAAGTCGTACACGCCCAAGCCGATCATCTTGATCGTCACCTCCAAGGTGAAGAAGAACGTGAAGACGAAATTCGTGATCGCGAGCCCGCGTTCGAGGTCCTCGTCCATGCCGTGGTGCTCGATCGCCATGAGCACGGTGTTGACGTAAATCAGCGCGAGGAAGAAGTTGTTAAAATAGCGATGGTCCTGGATCTCGTAGCAGCGCTCCTTAACGACGGCCCACCGACGCGCGTTTTCTTGCCGCCACGACCACCGGCCGTCCGAACGCTCCAACTGCGCCGCGAGCGTCTCCTCCCTCTTCTCCGCGGCGATGCGGCGCCGGTGCATGTACGACGAAAACGTGTTCGCGATGAACGACCCCGCGGTCGCGAGCGCGTGCCGTTTCTCCCCGCCCTGCGCGAGCTCGCGCTTGCGCGATATCTTCGACTGGAACAACGACTGCGCGCGTATACGAGCGAACGTCGGGGTGGAGTTAAAAGGCGTCAGAAGCGGAGTTGAAAGGCGTCGAGGCGTGTCGGGATTGAAAGCGAGGGGTAATGGGCGGAGAGTGACAAACGCCGGGAGAGAAAGTCCTTAAGGAACGGCGTTCACCACGCGAACGCGGTCGTATGGGGACCAGTGTGAGATAAAACGCACCTGCGCGCGACCGAATTTCGTCTTGAGCACCGCCAGGAAAAGGTTCACGACGAAATACGGTCCGAAGAACACGAGCGCGACGAAGTACGGCACCGCGGCCTCCGCTCCCGCGTCCATTATCCTGTACATCACCTGTGCCCATCCCGCGAGCGTCGTGCACTGAAACACGGTCAGCATCCCGAGGGCGGCGTTGTCGAACCCCGCGACGGAGTTCCCCCGCCCGCTCTCGAGCTCGACGCATTCCAACGGCTCGCCAGAGTCGGTCGACGCCGGACATTGCCGGCCGTCCCATAAACCGGACGCGCGGTTCGGGTCGCACCCCCACTCGTCCATCCACGTCTCCGGCTCGCCCGTGGCCGCGACCTGGCACCGACGGTGGTACGCTTCCTGGAAGATCTGCATCCCGGTGACCGCGAAGAGAAACGTGAAGAAGAAGACGAGGCCGACGACGGAGACGAGCAAGGGCACCGCCTCGATGAAGCACACGACGACGGACCGCAACGATTCGAATCGCGTAATCGTGCGTAACGGTCGTAACGCGCGTAACGCGCGCAACGCGCGCATTCCCCCGGACGCGTCCCCTTCCTCCGGTTCCCCGGGGGTGAGGAGGCCGCTGTACCCGACGAGCACGAGCGCGAAGTCAAACTTATTCCACGGCTCGCGGAAGTACTCCCTGACGCCGACGTGCGCGCATCGAAGCATGACTTCCACGGTGAACAGAACGTTGAGGGATAACTCCAGAATGTGGAGCGTTTTATTCCACTCCGAGTCCGCCGGCTCCGTGGGCTTGTACAGCGCGAGAGAGATGACGTTGATGAAGATGACGACGACGACGCCGAGCTCGAAGTTCTCGCTCTCGACGATCGGCTTCGCGACGCGGTATCCGGCGTACGCGACCTCGTCGTACGCCGCCGCGACGGCTTCCTTCGCGCGCCGCGTCGCGGTGCCGCACCCGCGCGCGCACCCTTCGAGCACGCCGCGCGCGCTGCGCGAAGAACGAAAGCCGCCACCCCGGGCCGAGTGCGTCGATCCGCGGGAGGACCCGCCGCCGGGTCCGCCGCCGGGTCCGCCGCCGTGTCCGCCGCCGCCGCCGCCGCCGCTGTCGAACCGCCCGCGGCCGGACCACACGCCGCTCGCGCCGGGTCTCTGAAACCGGCTTCCGAACCCCCCGTCTCCGTTAACCCCGCGGTTGCCCGCGGATATCGACCCGCTGCGTCCGATCCGCGCTTGCATTCGCGCTTCCATGCGTTCGACGTACGTCATCTTCGCCTGTTCGAGTTTTCTGGCGCCCATCGCGGCGGCGACGGCGTCGCCGAAGTTGATGATGCTCGGCGCCCTCCCTCCGCCGCCGCCGCCGCCGCCGCCTCCTATCGGGGTGGGGGAGACGGGCGATCGATGCGATGGATGTTCATCGGTCAGATCGGTCGAACGTTGAAAGCTGAAACCGGCGAAACCGGTGAGCGGCGAACGGGAGAGAGTCGCGGGGCGGGGCGAGAGAAAAAAAACTCGCCTTGGCCCGCGGCGGCGGCGGCGGCGGCGCCGCCGCCCGGGTTGCTGCTCCTGCCGCCGCCGTCGACCGAGCGTCGATCGCCGGTAGCGGCACCGTTACCACCGTTACTACCACACCCAAACCCGCTGTGGTGCCGCGAGCCGTGCGCGACGCCGCCGCTGCCGACGCTGCTGTCCCCGGGGGCGTGGTGGACGCCGCCGCCGCCGGCTCTTCGCGCGGGCGGGAGCATCGGGCCGGTCATCCCTCGGGTGTACGCCGTTTTGATCGCGTCGACGTCTTCCTTGGACAGCTCTGCGGGATGGACGGAGGGGGTGGGGTACGTAGGGGGTTTAGGGTTTCGGTTTAGGGTATCTCGGGGACGACGCGAGCTCGAGGACGCGCGGCGGCGCCCGTAGGTCGATCGATCGATCGAACGATCGATCGATCGAACGAACGATCGATCGATCGATCGTCGCGCACCTCGCCGCCCGCGAGGAACGGAATCGTCGCGCCCGTCGAGATCGCGGCGCGCCTCGTCCTCCGGTCCCGCCGCCGAGGCGTCCTTCAGCCAGCTGCGTATCGCGTCGCCGTTCGCTTTCCGACTCGAGCGGTCGCGCGACGCGGAGACGCGCGGCATCCCCGCGACGCCGTCGCGCGGCGACGACGAGACGTCGTCGACTCCAACGCTCATTCCGTCTGGATTGGTTTTTTTTTCGCCCGCCGTGCGCCCGCCCGCCGAGATCGATGTGCCGTCCGCGTCCGCGCCGCCGCCCCTCGCGCCCTCCCGCGGACGTCCGATCCGCCGCCGCGAGCTCTTCGAAGCGTCCGCCGAGCGCGCGCGCGGCCGCGAGTGGCGCCCCGCGCGCGAGAAGGTCCCCGCGTCGTCGCGTCGCCCTTCGACGCTCGCCCCCTCCGCTCGCGCGGTTTGACTGGGTGGAGCACGAATCGTCGCGATCGATAAATCATGAGGGC